GTTGTAGCTACAGTTAGAGTAAGAGGTAGATGGGAAAAGAGGAAGGTGGCAACAACAAGTAAGAGGGAAGTGAAAGTGTATAAACTAAGGGAGGAGGAAGTTCGGGTGAGATATAAGCGACTATTGGCAGAAAGGTGGGCTAGTGCAAAGATGAGTAGTGGGGGGTTGAAGAGGTTGGAATAGTTTTAAAAATGCAGTATTAGAATGTGGGGCAGAAGTTTGTGGTAATAGGAGGGTGGGGGCAGGAGGAAAGAGGAGGATTGGTGGAATGATGAAGTAAGGGTGTGATAAAAGAGAAAAAGGTAGCTTATGAGAGGTTTTTACAAAGCATGAAGTGTTATAAGAAGAGCAGAGTATATGGAGAGTAAAGAAAGGTAAAGAGAGTGGTGAGAGAGTGCAAAAGGAGAGCAGATGATAGAGTGGGAGAGGCACTGTCAAGAAATTTTAATGAAAATAAGAAAAAATTTTGGAGTGAGTTAAACAAGTTAAGAAAGCCTAGGGAAAATATGGATTTGTCAGTTAAAAACAGAGTAGGGGAGTTAGTAGATGGGGAGATGGAGGTATTGGGTAGATGGCGAGAAATATTTGAGGAACTTTTAAATGTTAAGGAAGAAAACAGAGGCAGTAATTTCATGCACTGGTCAGGGAGGTATACCATCTTTTAGGAGTGAAGAAGAGCAGAATGTAAGTGTGGGGGAGGTACGTGAGGCATTACGTAAAATGAAAGGGGGTTAAAGCAGCTGGAACTGATGGGATCATGACAGAAATGTTAAAAGCAGGGGGGGATATAGTGTTGGAGTGGTTGGTACTTTTGTTTAATAAATGTATGAAAGAGGGGAAGGTACCTAGGGATTGGCAGAGAGCATGTATAGTCCCTTTATATAAAGGGAAAAGGGGACAAAAGAGACTGTAAAAATTATAGAGGAATAAGCTTACTGAGTATACCAGGAAAAGTGTACGGTTAGGGTTATAATTGAAAAGAATTAGAGGTAAGACAGAATGTAGGATTGCGGATGAGCAAGGAGGTTTTAGAGTGGGTAGGGGATGTGTAGATCAGGTGTTTACATTGAAGCATATATGTGAACAGTATTTAGATAAAGATAGGGAAGTTTTTATTGCATTTATGGATTTAGAAAAGGCATATGATAGAGTGGATAGAGGAGCAATGTGGCAGATGTTGCAAGTATATGGAATAGGGGTAAGTTATTAAATGCTGTAAAGAGTTTTTATGAGGATAGTGAGGCTCAGGTTAGGGTGTGTAAAGAGAGGGAGACTACTTCCCGGTAAAAGTAGGTCTTAGACAGGGATGTGTAAGTCACCATGGTTGTTTAATAATTTATAGATGGGTTGTAAAGGAAGTAAATGCTAGGGTTTTTTTGGGAGAGGGGTGGGATTAAATTAGGGGGAATCAAATTCAAAATGGGAATTGACACAGTTACTTTTTGCTGATGATACTTGCTTATGGGAGATTCAAAAAGAAAATTGCAAAGGTTAGTGGATGAGTTTGGGAATGTGTGTAAAGGTAGAAAGTTGGAAAGTGAACATAGAAAAGAGTAAGGTGATGAGGGTGTCAAATGATTTAGATAAAGAAAAATTGGATATCAATTGGGGAGGAGGAGTAGGGAAGAAGTGAATGTTTTCAGATACTTGGGAGTTGACGTGTCGGCGGAGGGATTTATGAAGGATGAGGTTAATCATAGAATTGATGAGGGAAAAAGGTTTGAGTGGTGCGTTGAGGTAATGTGGAGTCAAAAAACGTTATCTATGGAGGCAAAGAAGGGAATTATGAAAGTATAGTAGTACCAACACCCCTTATATGGGTGTGAAGCTTGGGTGGAAAATTTGCAGCAGCGAGGAGAGGGTTTGGGAAAGGCAGCGGAGATGTCCTGTTTAAGGGCAATGTGGGGTGTAAATATTATGCAGAAAATTCGGAGTGTGGAAATTGGGAGAAGGTGTGGAGTTAATAAAAGTATTAGTCAAGGGCAGAAGAGGGGTTGTTGAGGTGGTTTGTTTATTTAGAGAGAAGGATCACAGTAGAATGACATGGAAAGCATATAAAAACTATAGGGGAAGGAAGGCGGGGTAGGGGGCGTTTCCCCGAAGGGTTGGAAGAGAGGGGGTAAAGGAGGTTTTGTGGGGAAGGGGCTTGGACTTCCAGCAAGCGTGGGGTGGGGCGTGTTAGATAGGAGTGAATGGAGACGATGGTACTTGGGGCTGACGATCTGTTGGAGTGTGAGCAGGGTAATATTTAGTGGGAAAGGGGTTCAGGGAAAAACCCGGGTTTTTTTCATATAGTCGACTTGAGTCCTGGAAATGGGAAGTACAATGCCTGCACTTTAAAGGGGGGTTTGGGATATTGGGAGTTTGGAGGGATATGTTGTGTATCTTTATATGTTTATGCTTCTAGACTGTTTTTATTCTGAGCACCTCTGCAAAAAACAGTGATAATGTGCGAGTGTGGTGAAAGTGTTGAATGATGATGAAAGTATTTTCTTTTTGGGGATTTTTCTTTTTTTTGGTCACCCTGCCTCGGTGGGAGACGGCCGACTTGTTGAAAAAAAAAAAAAAAAAAAAAAAAAAAATATATATATATATATATATATATATATATATACATATAATATATAATTATATAATATATATATATATATATATATATATAAATTATATATATATATATATATATATATATATATATATATATATAATATATATTTTATAATATATATATATACATACACACACACAACACACCACACACACACACACACACACACACACACAACACACACACACACTCCACTCACACTCACACACACACACACACACACACACACACACAGCCAGGAGCTCGGACTCGACCCCCGCAACCTCAACTAGGTGAGTACACACACAGTGGACCCCCGGTTAACGATATTTTTTCATTTCAGAAGTATGTTCAGGTGCCAGTACTGACCGAATTTGTTCCCATAAGGAATATTGTGAAGTAGATTAGTCCATTTCAGACCCCCAAACATACACGTACAAACGCACTTACATAAATACACTTACATTAATACACTTACATAATTGGTCGCATTGGGAGGTGATCGTTAAGCGGGGGTCCACTGTATATATGCCTTCCCCAGCACCCACACTATCTTTCCCACCACCTATGCTGGAAATGTCACTTTGACTTTTTTGGGTTATCCTAGGTTCTCTGCACATGCTGCTATGTATCATTATCTATGTACAGTGGAACCTCGAGTTTCGGCCATTTTGAGTTTGGGTCACATTTTTCACCTAAATTTTGTCTTGAGCTCTATACAGTACCTTGAGTTTCGGCTGCTGTACCAGACCTATCTGTCTGCCTGCGCCTGCCTGTACCCACACAAAGCATTCCACACATGCATTGTAAGTCAGTCTGAATTTATTTTTCCTCAAGTGAACATTACCATGCTTGTTCATCCAAACATTTCACAATAATTCATTGTTTTTTGTGCTTGTTGATTGAGTGCGACTGCTACATAATTAACCATGGAATTGAAGAAAGAAATTAAGGAGATTTGTGCAATGTGGAGTAGGGTGCAAGCTTTTGCTAAGAAATATCACCCTGAGCAAGCTGAAACCAGCCATCTCTGCAACATGTTCAGTGACAAAACCATGTCCCATTTCAGACAAATGCCAAGGAGATGCCAGCAACAGAGCTCTCTGGACAGTTTTTTTTGTGTGACAGGGGTCCAGTGACTCGAGCTGGTCCTAGTGACAGTAAAAGATAAAGAAGGGAAGTAACCCCAGATAGGGCTTTGATACCTGAAGTCCTTATGGTGGGGGGATTCCCCTTCCAAACAATAATAAGTCCTCCCTGTCTTCCATACGCCAACAAGAATCTTCATTAAATGTTTGTTTATCTATTTCGTTAGTAATTTAAGTACTACATGTATATGTATTTATAATTGTTTTGTGTTTGTAAAACTATAGTTATTCTTTAAAAATTTTTTTTTTTTTTTTTTTTTTTTTTTTTAATATTTTTGGGTGTCTGGAACGGATTAATTGGATTTACATTATTTCTTATGGGAAATATTGCTTTGACTTTCGAACAATTTAAGTTTCAGCCGAGCTTCTGGAACAGATTATGGCTGAAACTCAAGGATCCACTGTAACTGTATTAGTGTATACCTGAATAAACTTACACGCCGTCTTCCGAACCACCCACACCATCTTCCCCACCATCCATGCTGCCTTCCCCACCATCCAAGCTGCTTTCCCCAACACCCAAGCTGCCTTCCCTTTTCACTATCTGTATCTGGTATCCTGGGCATTGCTTTTGGTCACAAACTCCTCAAAACCATGAAATTCATCTTCACTGACACTTTCATCTGTGTTAAAACTATCACTTGGGAAGAGAAGAGTCCCAGATTCGCTAGGGAGCGAGACATTCCTTACTGCAAGGCATGGTAAACGAGGACTACTGAAATGGCGTTCCCACAGTGCAGTGCAGGTGCCCTGATTTTTTTTATACTGTGCACACTGACCACGCAGACCCATTCTCTCACATGTAGGTCAACCAGCTTTCTCCTGCTATATTTGAAGCCTCTAGAATTTTGTCATAGTACTACGGCAAAAACACTGGCTCATAAGCCATAGTACTACGGCACCAACAATGAACGAGTTAAAAACAACAAAAAAAGTAAAATACACATACAGTACACTGGTCGGAGAGCTGATCATAAATCCGAGCGGTCATTAAACAGGTAGGTTGTTAAGTGAGGAGTACCTGTACTTATGCATATGCACATGTAGATACACATGCATACATACAAAAAGTGTACATACATGCTGAGGTAGAGGCTGGGCTTAAGGAATGTGGGGATACCTTTCTTGGATCGCACAATGATTAACACGCATCTAGTTCTTCATTACTCTGGCCATTGTAAATTTCTTATAATTTTTATTATTTATGTATTTATTTATTTATTTATTTATTTATTTTTTTTTTTATTTTTTTTTTTTTTTTGCAGATGAACATATTCTCATGAAGATTGCTTACTTAACTGGTTGTCTGATTCTTGGACTCACATTCTTAGATGACTGGGAGGTAAGTATTCCTTCGAGAGAGGTACCTTGATATCAGTGAAGGGCTTTTGAACCAAGGAATTGGATCTACCCTTCTCTTTCTTGGATTGAATCTGATTGCTGTTCATTCTCCCTTTGGATTTAGCACTACCCAGGGAAAATAAGAATAATAATAATGGGTGATACATGGGCCCTGTGATTTAAGAAATTCTTATAAACTTGCATTTGACTATACTGTACTGTATATTTGTCATGTACTGTATATTTGTCATGTATTAAAACATAAATTATCAGAGTTTAGAAATCAGCATGAGTTTCAGGATCAAATTGAAACATTTAGCAAACTTTTCATCCATCTGCTTTAAGTAATTAAATAGAAACTTATCCATTATTTTGTATGAATTGCTAATAATTGATCTACTATTAAGTTAATTATCTGGATTTCATATTGTATAAATGATTCATCTGTGAATACACAAGGTCTTTTACATTTTATCACAGATTACAGTACTAACACCTAATTGATGTTAAAATTTGCCTGAAATGCTGTATTTATAAGGGCTTTACAATAATCGGCACTTGTTATATAGTATTTAAGTTTTCATACTGTGAACATCAGTCTTTTTTCATATCTATGTATATATGTTTACACGTTTGTATTGATATTTTCTCTTTCCAGGACTGTGTATTTGATAAGACAAAAGGTCAAGTAACTATGGTACGCCGCAACTGGTTTGAACAGTTAACAAAGCGTTGCGCTGACCACAACACACTGATCCTTGAAAATAATAATATAATGGCAGTGAGAGTTGTACATGGCAGTGGACGGTAAGTTATATTGAGGGAATTTCACTTTTAAATGCATAAAGAGTTTTGTATACAAATTTCATGCTTTCATATGGTTAAAGACTAACTTGTGTAAAGAAACAGGGTTTTGTTGCAATACACAATCAACACATCTTGCTGTCCCTGTAGTTCCTTTATATCTAAGTTTGTCTTCTTGATGTGCTGTATGGGACTATGGGTTCTTCTAATATGTAATATCTACACTCGGTGGTCATTTTATTCAGTACACCATTCTAGAACTGGTAGGGGGGTCCCTTTTGCCCCCAGAACAGCCTGAATTCTTCATGGCTTGGATTCAGTAAGGTGTTGGAAACATTTCTGAAGAGATCCTGGTCCATGTTGTCATGCTAGCATCATGCAGATGCTGTGATTTGTTGGCTGTACATTCATACTGTGAATCTCTTGTTCAGCCATATTCCAGAAGTTTTCATCAGGTTCTGACCCTAAAATCTTCATGTTGCAACAAATTGCAATTTGTCAGACCCATCAACGTTTTTTCAATCTTCATTGGGTCAGCTTTGGTGAGCCTGTGCCTAATGTAGCCTCAGTTTCTGCTCTTAGCATACTGGAGTGGAACCCAGTGTGGTTTTCAGTTGCTGTAGCCAGTCCATTTCGAGGTTTGATGTGTTGTGCACTCAGAGATGTTCTTCTGCATAGCACTGTTGTAACGCATAGTTATTTAAGTTACTGTCATCTTCCTGTCAGTTTGAACAAGTATGGCCATTCTTTTCTGATCTCCCACATTGTCAAGGCATTTTTGCCCACAGAAACTCCACTTGCTTAATGATTTGTGTTTTCACACTATTCTCTGTAAATCCTAGATACTATTCTGCCTGAAAATCCGAGATCACTTTCCAAAATACTCAGTCTACCCCATCTGGCACCAACAATTATTCTACAGCCACAGTCACGTAGATTACATTTGTTCCCTATTCTGATGTTTAGCCTGAACAAGTAAACCTCTTGACCATATCTGCATGCTTTTACGCATTGAGGTGCTGCCACATGATTGTGTGATTAGATATTTGCATTAACAAGCAAATGTACAGGTATACCTAATAAAGTTAACTGTGTGTGTGTGTGTGTGTGTGTTTTTTTTTGAAGGCGCTAGAATTTAGGCATACTAGTACGTCAATAACCCTGGTGCGTAAGTCGTACTAGTACGTCGGAAACCCTGTAAGGGTTAACACATCGGCCGATTCCCACCAAGGCAGGGTGGCCCGAAAAAGAAAAACTTTCATCATCATTCACTCCATCATTGTCTTGCCAGAGGGGTGCTTTACACTAGAGTTGTAAAACTGCAACATTAACACCCCTCCTTCAGTGTGTAGACACTGTGCTTCCCATCTCCAGGACTAAAGTCCGGCCTGCCGGTTTCCCTGAATCCCTTCATAAATGTTACTTTACTTACACTCCAACAGCACATCAAGTATTAAAAACCATTTGTCTCCATTCACTCCTATCAAATACGCTCATGCACGCTTGCTGGAAGTCCAAGCCCCTCGCACACAAAACCTCCTTTACCCCCTCCCTATCATATGCCTTTTCTAAATTCATAAATGCAATGAAAACTTCCTTACCTTTATCTAAATACTGTTCACATGTACACTTCAATGTAAACGCTTGATCGACACATCCCCTACCCACTCTAAAACCTCCATGTGCATCTGCAATCCTGCTCTCTGTCTTACCTCTAATTCTTTCAATAATAATCCTACTGTACACTTTTCCTGGTATACTCAGTGAACTTATTCCCCTGTAATTTTTACAATCTCTCTTGTCCCCCCCCCTTTCCCTTGTATAAAGGAACTAGACATGCTCTCTGCCAATCCCTAGGTACCTTCCCCTCTTTCATACATTTATTAAACAAAAATACCAACCATTCCAACACTATATCTCCCCTGTTTTTAACATTTCTGTCATGATCCAATCAGTTTCAGCTGCCTTACCCCTTTTTCACTCTCTAATGCCTCAGCACTTCCCCCACCTCACATCCTGCTCTTCTTCACTCCTAAAAGATGTTATACCTTCCTGGCCAGTGCATGAAATTTCCACCTCCCTTACTTCATTGACATTTAAAAGTTCCTCAAAATATTCCAGCCATCTACCCAATACCTCCAGTTCCCTTTAACTAACTCCCCTACTCTATTTTTAACTGACAAATCCGGTCGTTTCCCTAGGCTTTCTCAACTTATTTATCTCACATCCAAAATTTTCACTTTTTTTCAGCAAAATTTCTTGAAGTGCCTCCTTTTGCACTTTTCTCACCACTCTTCACTTTTCTTTTACTCTCCATATATATTCTGTTTTTCTTATAACACTTGTGCTTTGTAAGAAGCCTCTTAAGCTATCTTTTTTTCTTTTATCACAACCCTTTGTCATTCCACCAATCACCCCCTCTTTCCTCCTGCACCCACCCTCCTATGCCACAAACTTTGCCCCACATTCTAATACTGCATTTTTTTAAAACTATCACAGTCCTCTTCAAGCCCTTTCTCCCCACTATTCATACTTGCAATAGTTCACCTTTCTGCCAATAGTTGCTTATGTCTCGCCCTAACCTCCTCCTCCCTTAGTTGATATACTCTCTCTTACTTGCTGTTGCCATTTTTCCTCTTGTCCCATCTACCTCTAACTGTAGCTATAACTAAATAATTTGACCCGGTATATCCATTGCCTCTCTATAAACATGTACATCCTGAAGCCTACCCATCAACTGTTTTATCCACCAATACATAATCTAACAAACTGTTTTCCATTACTGCTATATCATCCCTTGTATACTTATTAATCCTCTTTTTCTTTAAAGTATGTACATATTCTTATTACAAACCTCTTTCTACACATAGCTCAATTAAAGGGTTCCCATTTTCATTTACCCCTGGCACCCCAAATTTACCTACAACATTTTTGCCTACTTTAGCATTGAGATTCCTAACCACAAGTACTCTCTCACTTGGTTCAAAACTCCCCATGCACTTACTCAACATTTTCCAAAATTAATCTCCCTCCTCTCATAACATCCACAATCATCTCTTTCTTATCATTTGCACAACATCCACATACGTTCAAACATCCCACTTTGACGGTTTTCTTCTTTTTCTTTTTAGTAAACTATACGGGAAAAGGGGCTACTAGCCCATTGTTCCCGGCATTTTAGTTGACTTTTACAACACACATGGCTTATTTAGGAAAGATTCTTATTCCACTTCCCCATGGATATGAAAGGAAAAGCAATAAGAACAAGAACTATTAAGATAAAATCAAAGAAAACTCAGACGTGTGTGTACTGTATACATAAATGTGTAGTACATGTACGTGTAGTGTGACCTAAATGTAAGTAGAAGTAGCAAGACATACCTGAAATCGTGCATGTTTATGAGAGAAAAAAGACACCAGCAATCCTACCATCATATAAAAGAAATGCAGACTACCTTTTTACACTCGCTTGGTAGGACAGTAGTACCTCCTCGAATGGTTGCTGTCTACCAACCTACTACCTTAAGAAAAATGTGCATTATGCAGTAGACCTATTGATCCATATTAAACAGTTCTAAATCTGACATTCATTCCTGCTCATGTATGTGTCCAGTTCTGCCTTAATGCTACCCAAGGTATTTGCTTAATCATCCTACTTGGCACTTTGTTTCACTCACCCATAATTCATTTGACTATTCAATGGTGCTTGGCTATATGCTAGTTTCTACATCTGAATTTATCCACTTTGAATGCATTTTGAATTATGAATAGATGTCTTCAGCACCTTATTTTTATTGCATTTGATTTTTATCTGGCTTAAATCTATTTGCCTTAATCATATTTTATTTTGCTCTATGCCTTAAAAGAGGGTGTAGATTCAATACTCTCAACTCATTTTCACAGGAAAGACTCCCAATACAAGGGCCAACCTTGTCATCTTTCACTATGTACTTCAACTTTACAATGTTCCTTCTATAATTTAGAGACCAGACCTTTCACTGTTATGTTTAAATGATGCCTCACTAATGATTTCAAGCCATGACATATATCTGCAACCCCACTACTTAACCATCTGGATACATATCCATGCAATCCATGACCTCCACTTTGCAAATCCAGGCACAGCTACACTGATCTCAGATGACTGACAACCAGGGCTCCTAAGTCCCCTTTACATTCATTATTCCCAGATTTTATACCACCCAGTCTACAAATACCAAGATAACTTTCCCTTTCCATTATCCCCCACACTATACTGAATCATGTGCACCACCCATCTGACCACAACAGCAGCCCATCCAAATCATGAAGAACATGCTCTTGGGCTAACTAGGGCTTATAAATAAAGATCAGATTAGTTAGAGCGAAATAGAGCGAAACACCAACGTCAAAGACCTGGGAGTGATCATGTCGGAGGATCTCACCTTCAAGGACCATAACATTGTATCAATCGCATCTGCTAGAAAAATGACAGGATGGATAATGAGAACCTTCAAAACTAGGGATGCCAAGCCCATGATGACACTCTTCAGGTTGCTTGTTCTATCTAGGCTGGAATATTGCTGCACATTAACAGCACCTTTCAAGGCAGGTGAAATTACTGACCTAGAAAATGTACAGAGAACCTTCACAGCGCGCATAATGGAGATAAAACACCTCAATTACTGGGAGCGCTTGAAATTCCTGAACCTGTACTCCCTGGAACGCAGGCGGGAGAGATACATGATTATATATACCTGGAAAATCCTAGAGGGACTAGTACCGAACTTGCACACGAAAATCACTCACAACGAAAGCAAAAGACTCAGCAGATGATGCAACATCCCCCCAATGAAAAACAGGAGTGTCACTAGCATGTTAAGAGACATTACAATAAGTGTCAGGGGCCCGAGACTGTTCAACTGCCTCCCAGCATACATAAGGGGGATTACCAATAGACCCCTGGCTGTCTTCAAGCAGGCACTGGACAAGCACCTAAAGTTGGTACCTGACCAGCCGGGCTG